ACCCCTATTATCTCTAAATTGACTAGCCCGGATCTACGGGCGTTACAGTCTGAGTAGGGTCAAACACAGTCAGCATGCTTAGAGCATTGGTCTGAGAGATGATATTAGTTTTAATAGTTAGATAGTTAATTGAAACTTGTAACAAAGTAAATGTAATTGAGTTTTGGTGATTAAATAATAGAGAATTATTTATGAGTTTGTTTACTACCTTTTATCAATTCTTTATTATTGTGTTTCAGTTTTGCATGTTTTACTTCCCAAATAATTCAATTATTCAAACTCCACAGCCGATCATACTTTTAGAAGTAAGTAGTGAATTAAGACTGTCATGAATAAGATTGTAGATTGTCTAAAGAGTTTTAGACATAGCAATGGTATTGTTGCAATGCTCATGAGCACTTTGAAATGGATATTTAAGTATTGGATTAACCCGCACTCAGAGAATTACTTCATGGAATTTATCATGAGTAATTATGAGACGATAACATCTAATAATCTTAAAAAGGAGATATATAAGTTATGGTTTACAAGTTAGTTGTGCATTGATGATATGAGAACGCATCAGTAACTTGATGTTATAAAACGTACTGTAGTGCCTGATCTGATGAGTAAATGGTTCAAGCGTATAAGTCAAAGTTTATTCTTTCCTTTTACCTTAACAGGAAAAGTGATATCTTTAGGCCCCTCAGTGATTTTGTGTTGACTTATAGTGTCGGGCCCGGCCAGGACTAAATTGATATGTTCGATTAGAATTTCTATGTCATTACAAATCAAAAAACAGGAAAAAAGTATTGGACAATGAGATTGATTTTGTTCCATGTCTCATATCTAAATGATATCTTGCAAAACAGAGGATTATATGATCACTTATCTTAAGACACGTAACTGACTGGGTCAGAGTTCAACACCAACTTTTGGAAGCTACAATCTTCTTATCAGTTTAGAGTTTATACTGGCAATTATTGTTATAAACTTATCCAAGTGGGAGACTATTGGATTATAAAAAACATATATTTGTAAAATTTTGAAATATATTGTTGTATTATGCACAACGCGTCACCTAGTGTGTGTGTGTGTGTGTGTATATATATATATATATATATGTGTGTGTGTGTGTGTGTGTGTGCGTGTGTGTATGTGTGTGTGTGTGGTTAGGATTAAATGTGAATGATATATATTATGTGAATGTATGACAAGTTTTGGACCATTATATTAGATTTGTATGTGGATGAGATTAGATGGTGTACAATACTTACAATTCAACATAATACATATAAACATTCCTTTTTAATAAATGAAAATCATAAAAAATAATTATAAATGCGTGATTGACATTTTGATTAATTCTCATTAAAGAAGTTGATAAAAATAAGGAGAATATATATAGATATATATATATATATATATATATATATATATATATATATATATATATATATATATATATATATATATCTTAATTCAAAAAGAATATATTGTTTTCAAAATCAACTCTAATTTATGTGTATATATGTACAATAACATTTTAAAAAACTTAACATTTTGGTATTCTACATCCTATTCTTTTAAACCCACTTCAGTTCTGTGTTTTATTCTTCAATAATCACTTTTAGTTAAACATCTTATTCTTCAAGAGTCATTTAAATTCTGTATTCCATTGTTATGCATTCCATTCAAGAATTAGTTTTCATTATGTTAATCATTCTAATGCATTAAAAAAACATTTAAAACCATATTATATCCATTATTAATAAATATGTGAAAAAATAATATAAGAAATTGAACAAATTTTACAAGTGTTCAGATTCTTTCAGAATGAGATAAAAATACCACAAAAACTCAAATTTTAATAGCAAATCATATCATAACACACAAAAAAAACTAAAGATCCAGTAAATGTCACAAAAAAATGTATCGTCTTTGGCATTCCTAAATATTGTTGTCCACTTTTTTGTCATTTTCTTTCTTCTTGTTTTTGCTTCTTGCATGACATGTTTTTTCTAGTAAGGCATGTTTCCCAAATGCTTGCAATATAATTCTTGAACAATGTTATGCTAAAGAACCTGAAACCTTAAGTCCAATAAATTAGTATAATATAAGAGCGTATAAAAACAATAAATTAATAAACAACCCAATTTAAATAGAATATCATCAAGAACAGTGAAATGTTGTCACAATTTAATCAAATTTGGCAAGAATGTTATATATTAATATTTTAGAATGTTATCACACTAACAATAAAATTCTTCAACAACAGCAACATGCACAACATAATGATAATATAATTATTAAAAAAGACACATTATAAGAACATTACTTGTATACTTCAATAATTTGTAAATAACTGTAACCTAAATTACTATTACACTAAACAAATTACCCTCATTCTATGATAAATAATCCAAAGAAAATGCCCATAAATTTAACATGTAACAATATTTATAGAAAATTGTAATAGGATCACATTTGGTTTGTGAAAACATCCTTGAGATGCAATACACAATTGGTGAAACAAATATAAAGTAACTTAAGGAACTAAAAGCTTGTAAATTATTAGCATTCTTCTAGAATTATCAGCATGCTTGCATAATAATTAACAATCGCTAACAAATATGGTTGCATCTTTGAATACACAGTAGTACTATTTAGGAAAAAACAATATTCTTCAAGAGTACTTTCTATATTATTCAAGATTATTTGCTAAATTCTTAAGAATGTCTCCCGACTTCTATATTGTCTAGTAAATTTTGAAAGAATATTTTCAATATTCTTGAAGAATAAAACTAAAATAAAATCAGATTACGTTCTATAAATATATTACACTCAATAAACTAAAACTGAAATTGCACTACAGTCTTCAAGAAAAAATAAGCAATTCTTAAACATTGTAAAAATCAATGTCTCATTATTGATTGTTGGCTTCAAATATAAATGTATGAAAAACCCTAACCTTGTAATGGAGCAAGAAAATTGTCATCGTCATCAAGATTGAGCGGAGCATTCCATGTGTTCTTTAATTCCGATTTCCAATTTTCTTTTAGTTGGGAGCTTGATCTTCGATGCTCCATACTCAAAGAACCACCACACACAAAAACACTTTCTCTACATTTTGTTTCTCGCTGGAGCTTGAAATTTGAACTTTAGCAGTGTGTTGTTTCTTTTAATATATTTTCTACATTTTTATCTTGTTTAAAGATCACCATGATTAATTTGAAATCCCTATATCACTGGAAATAATTTGAAGAATAAATTGTGTCAGTCATAATCAAAACTCAGATAGATGAGAAATTGAGGGCCACACTTTCTCCCTTTTTTCAGGAACGATTGGTTTTACCTTCATACATATAGAATAGCAATTTAGTATGGTACACGATCCATCAGACATCAAGAATATCTTGATTCTTGATTTTCAAGTGTAGAATCAAAGAACGATGACCGATTAGGGCATAGCAGGGAATGGATATCTTGAAATCGTGGAGATAATGAAGTCCAGAATGTGAAGGTCGTGCTAGGCGTGATCTTTAAAGTCTTTGGCTTTTATTTTTGAATATACCTTAATTATAGGTTGTTAATTTTGGATATAATTGTAAAACTGAAAAATTTTCCTTTTAAAATGATTGGACCATATTTGGTAATACAATCACATAATAGTTATGGTATATATGAGCATAACTCTCTCTCTCTCTCTCTCTCTCTCTCTAATCGGTTTCCCAATCCACAACAGGTCCTTTTTTGTCATTTTCTACTTACGTGGCAATGATGACTGGGCATTGTGTTGAGCTGAGGTGGGACCTGTAAACCAACGTATTCTTTGATAATTAAAATTTTGGATGAGGGCAAGGATAATTGTTGTTACCGAGAATCGAACCCTTGCCTCCTCCATATCTGAGCACTACACATACAACCACGATCAACCGTTTTTTGTGTTATTCATTGTAAATTGTAAATATAAAGAATAACACTAACGTAATAATATATATATATATATATATATATATATATATATATATATATATATATATATATATATATATATAGGGAAATCTTGGAAAATGTCTCAAACTTTTGGGAAAAGTTACACTTTTGTCGCAACATTTTTTTTGAACAAAAAAACCCAGGAAACCAGGTAAATCAAACATTTTGGCCCTATGTTATCGGCAACCCTCATTTAGCCAGTTAAATTGGCTTATGTGGCAAGGAGTTACTTACGTGGGTTTAATCAATCTCATTTACACACGTACATACACAATACAACTTACCTCTCTCATTTCACTTTCTCCTTCCTTATCAATAAACTAGGGTTTTTTTTTACCCACGTGCAGTTGAAATCATGGATGGCATCCATGATTTTGATACAATAGATGTGTAGCTGGATGCGTATTTCAAAAAGAATCAAGCTTCCCGATGCAAAGATGAATTTCTCAATATTCTATGTGAAGAAGATGATTACGATGCAGTAGATGATGCCCAAACTGAAAATGATGCTCAAACTGGAATCACTAAAGAAGAATCAGATGAAGATTATCTAGAAGGTAGTAACGAATAAGGTAATGATGAGGAATTTGAGTATTCCACCCACAATCCAAAGGTGAAATGGAAAAAAAATGAGACCAATGCTTGGTGAAAGATATGAATCCCCACATGAACTGAAATTATGTTTGACCAAATATGCTGTTAGTAAGGGCTTTCAAATCCGTTTCAATAAATGTGATAGTGTTATACTAGTAGCAATATGTGGAAGTGATCCATAGAAGTGTCCATTTGTGGTTAGGGCTTCTTGGATGAGTACTGAAAGGTCTTTCCAAGTCAAAAAGATGATAGACATTCATAAATGTGTTAGGAATTTTAACAATTCAAGGCTTATGGATCCTACCTGGTTAGCTAGGAAATTCGTGAAGGAGTTGATTAGGAAACATAATTTAAAATGCAAAGAGATGCAGATAATTATACAAAGTAAATTTCATTGCAAAATTTCATGGTCAACGTGTTATAGATAAAGGATGAGGGTAATGTCTTTAATTCATGGGAATTTGAGTGACCACTACACAAGAGTTTGGGATTATGGGCATGAGCTACTGAGATCCAATCCAAACATCACAGTTAGGATTACAGTTACTGTAAACCTTGATAATACCACATCATTTCATAGATTCTACATTTGCTTTAAAGCAATAAGAGAAGGGTGGAAAAGGGCATGTCGTAGGGTAATAGGATTGGATGGTTCTTTTTTGAAGGGACAGTGTAAGGGTGAATTGTTAGCTGCAATAGGTAGGGATGCCAATAATCACGTGTATCCCATAGCTTGGGCAGTTATTGATGTAGAGAATAAGAACAACTAGAAATGGTTCTTGGATTTGGTTAATGATGATCTTGGATTAAGGGTGGAAAGGGTGTGTGTGTAATCAGTGACCAACACAAGGTAAAGTAACTATCTCTTTATTCTTCATTATTTACAATAGTGTATGGCGTTGCTAATTAACTTTTTTTTTTCATGTTATAGGGTCTTGTTGAAGCTAGTAAGGATAATCTACCATATGTTGAGCACAGGCAATGTGCAAGGCATATCTATGCCAATTTTAGAAAAGTTTATAGTGGAGTGCAGTTCAGAAATATGTTTTGGGCAACTACAAAATCTACCATAGAAGGAGATTTCAAGTTTAATATGGAATGAATTAGGGCAATAAGTTATGCTGCTTATGATCATCTCATGGCAAGGGAACCAACTTCATGGTGCAGGGCTTATTTCTTTACTGGCTTGGCTTGTGAGGCTGTAGAGAATGGGATTGTTGAGTGTTTCAATGCAATCATTGTAGATGCAAGAAATAAACCTTTTCTAACTATGCTTGAAGAGATTATGATTTACATGATGGAAAGGGCTTTCAATCTGAAACAAGAGGCTGAAAAATGGGTTGGTGAAGTTTGTTCTTCCGCGATAACAAAGATGGAAGAATTTGGAGAAGACATTAAGTAAGTATTCTTAATTGTTTTGTTTTTACATGTTCTATCTTATGTGTTTGTATCTTATGTTCTGTCTTATATGTTTGTAGAAGTAAGGAATGGGTTTCAAAACTATGGAGTTAACTTGAAGGAAAAAATATGTGCTTGTAGATTATAGGAACTTTCAGGAATACCTTGCGTGCATGCACAAGTGGAAATATTGTACACCAATCAAGATCCCGTTAACTTTATAAGTATTTGGTTCAGAAAGAATAATTACAAGTCAACTTATGATCAGAATATACACCCAGTTAATGGAAGTATCTTATGGGAAGAAACAAGTTACACTAAGCCCCTTCCACCCATTGAAAAGAGGATGCCAGGAAGGCCTAGTGTTAAAAGAAGAAGACATGTTTCAGAAAATTAAGACAAGTACTCTCAAGTGTCAAGCAAGGGTAGAACTGTCCAGTGTACAAATTGTCTATAAAGGGGACACAATAAAACATCATGCAAGAATCCTATAGTGGTTCCAGAACCTCAACCAAAGAAAAAAATGGGCAGGCCTAGGTTGGAGCCTAATTTGCTTAATTGGTCAGGAACTAAAACAGGATCTAAAGGTGGTGGAAGGGCTGGTGGAAGGGTTGGTGGAGGAAGGAGTAGAGGTGGTGGTAGGGGATCTAGTGGAAGAGGCAATAGAGGTGGTGGTAGGGGATCTAGTGAAGGAGTCCAAACAGAATATGGGGAGGGTACTTCTGAGTTTCCTAAATGTGAGCCTGAACTTGTTGCCATTCCAAATGTTGAGAGTGAAAATGATGCAAGTCCATATTTTCACAATCATATGAGCTTAACAATTGACAACCTAAGAAATCTTTATACACTACAGAAAAGATCATGGACTGTCTTGGACTTCGTGAAGTAGAATTACAAAAAATTGAAGGTCTTGGATTGAGTGAAGCAGAAGTATTGTAACATCAGATGAGGGTGCGCGAGGAGGATATCTAGAAGACCGCATTCAGGACTCGTTATGGGCATTACGAGTTTGTGGTGATGCCATTCGGGCTCACCAATGCACCTGCAGCGTTCATGGATCTCATGAACAAGGTATGCAGACCGATGCTAGATCGATCAATGATTGTGTTCATTGACGACATTTTGGTGTATTCGAAGTCCAGGGAGCAGCATGAGGATCATTTGCGAGAGATCCTCAGCATGTTGCGATCGGAGAGGCTTTACGCCAAATTCTCCAAGTGCAATGTTTGGTTACGAGAGGTGCAGTTTCTTGGTCACCTCGTTAACCAAAAGGGGATTTTGGTCGATCCGGCCAAGATCGAGGTGGTGATGAGTTGGGAGGTGCCTAAATCTCCTTCTGAGATTAGGAGTTTTCTAGGGTTCGACTGCTATTATCGGAGGTTCATCAAGGATTTCTCCAAGATTGTTGTTCCTTTCACCAAGTTGACCCAGAAGGGTGTGGTGTTCAGCTGGGGCCCAGAGCAGCAGGCCTCATTTAAGACTCTTCACTAGAGATTGTGCGAAGCCCCCGGTGTTGACTCTTCTAGAGGGGATGGAGGACTTCGTGGTGTATCGTGACGCATCGATATCTGGGTTGGGCGTGGTGTTGATGCAGAGGGGGCATGTGATCGCGTACGCATCGAGGCAGTTGAAGCCCCATGAGGCAAGGTATCCCACCCACGATCTAGAGTTAGGGGCTGTGGTGTTCGCCCTCAAGATTTGGCACCATTATCTGTATGGGGTTCGGTGTACGATATACACGGACCACAAGAGTTTGAAGTATTTGATGGATCAGCCAAACCTGAACATGCATCAGAGGAGATGGTTGGATGTGGTAAAGGATTATGACTGCGATATCCTGTACCACCCGGGCAAAGCTAATGTGTTAGCCGACGCCCTGAGTCGTAGAGCAAAGAGCGCCCCGATTCTGGATATTTGTATCAGATTGACGATGATGACTCCGGTGTTGGACACCATCAGAGGGGCTCAGGCTGAGGCAGTGAGACCGGAGAACCGCAAGAGAGAGCGAGTTATCGGACAGGTGTCGGAGTTTGTGATCGATAGCATAGGGCTTATGACCTTCCAGGGTCGGATTTGGGTATCGTTTGTTGGAGAAACGCGTACCATCTTGATGGAGGATGCACATAGATCGAGATTCTTGATCCATCCTGGAGCGACTAAGATGTTTATGGATCTTAAAAGGGAGTATTGGTGGCCCTGTATGAAGAGAGATGTAGCATGGTCTGTTGAGAGGTGCATAACCTGTTGTAGGGTTAAGGCCGAACATCAGAGACCACATGGTAAGTTGTAGCCACTGGAAGTCCCAGAGTGGAAATGGGAACAGTTATCCATGGATTTTATCACCAAATTACCGAGAACGGCGAGGGGTGTCGATGCAATTTGGGTGAGAGTAGACCACTTGACAAAGAGCGATCACTTTCTCGCCATTAGTGAGAGTTCTTCTGGGAGAAGTTGGCAGAGATATATGTGAGAGAG